ATCATGTTCAGGTACAAACACCCAATGGTAAATGTAAATGTATCGTATACCTAAAATGTACCAATAAATATATAAATAAAAAAAGAAAAGTAGTACAGTTTTCATTAGGGAATATCTAACAATGAGATTAGATTAAGGATGATATATTATCTTATATCTTATGAGATGCATATGTCACAAAGATATAAATATTTCTAAGGTGTAATACAAAGGGAAATGTGGGGATGGGACAACCAACTGAATGCTGTGCCCCTAGCCACAGGCTAGGTGTATACACTCAGCCCAGAGAGGAGATGGAACAGAGTGTCCCATCCCACACCCACACCATGGCCCATGTGTCCAGCCCAGAGAGAGCCCCAGGACAGACCAGTCAGTCTGAAATTGAGGACACATGGTAAATTATGCAGAGGTACTCAGAGAGAACACAATAAAAGAAAAGAAAAGACCATCCAGCAGCTGCCAGACAACACTAAAAGAGCAATGTGAGGCTAATTGGAGTTCCAGAAAAAGTAAAAGATAACATAGATGGAAAAATTGTTTACAGAAATCATAGCAGAAAAATTCTCAAAGATGAAAAATGTTTAAAATACAACTACATTGAATTTAGAAAACATCAAAAACTGTGATGAAAATAGAAGCTCACAAGGCATATCCTCATTATACTGCCAGATATCAAAAAACCACAACAAAAATTTAAAGCAGAGAAAAAGAAAAAAAAATCACTTATAAAGGTAAACCACTTAGAATTACAACAGGCATTTTAACACAAACCTTAAAGGTCAGAAGAGCTTGCAGTGATGTATTCAAGTCCTAAGAGTGAATAACTTCCGATCTAATTTAACTTACCCAGCAAAGCTCTCTTTCAAAAATATGGAGAATTAAGGATATTTCATGAAAAAGATTAGCTCAAGACACCTATGAATGCTAAACTACCACTTCAGAAAATACTCAAGAATATCCTAGATAGAAACACTGAAGCCAATACACAGATATTCCTTGTTCAACAATCTACCTTTTTTAATGTCTGGACATACAAATGAGGCACATTGTTTCTGACATGACCCACTACTCAGACTTATGACTCATCTTTTTTGTACAGTTCTGCACATATTGATAGATCCTCAATGTCTTTCTCTGTACATTACACCTAGTTCATACAATGCTCTGATTTTTCTGATTGTACTGTGCAGTACTATAGTTTTATGTTGTTATATATTATAGTAGTGCATGTAAGAGTTATGAAAACAAAAGCAAAGTCACAAAGTTGCAGTTTCCTTTGACCATATCTTTGTCCTGAATATCATGAAGTACGTATTGTATACAATTCCTCATTTAGCATCCCATTAGTGACCTAATCACAGGAACAGGAATCAGTCATTAAATGAAGAATCCATGTAGTCTCTTGTATTTTAGGCATATTCACTAAGCAGGCTGTGTAGATAAGCACAGCATTCATGAAAAGACAAATGTCTTCAAAATATGTGTTATTTATACTACTACCAGGGACAAATAAACTACCTTATATAGTTTGGATACTGAGACAAAAAACTAAGCTCAAAAAATATATGGTTTCCTGTGAGAAAATGGGTCTCCTTATGAGACCCACTGATCACATGTGATACAGGAAGTACAGCTGTGACAAAGAGTCAGAAAAAATGTATCAGTGCACTCTTTCTATTGGGCTCAGTTCTAAGGGCTATTTGCTTCCAATAGTTCCTCAGGGGATAATAAAGCTGACTCATTTGGAGTTAGATACATTCTCAGATATAAACAAACTCTTTAGAAGTAATGTTACCTTTCAAACTATTTAGTAGCTAGAAATGTCACATATATGGGTGCACATATTTTCTCAAGGG